GAAGAGGGACTTTGCAATTAATTGCAATTCATCTGATCACTCTTCGTAACATTCTGGAGTATATGCAAATTGCCATAATAAAAACTGAGGCAGTTAATATTTGTGTCATTCTCAAAACTTTTGGCCACAGCTGTACACAGATTTTCAGAAGTTGACGCTAATTGCCAAAAGCCAGAACCAGTCTGTAGATTTGAGTAAATAGTATTCACAGACAATTGTTGTGTATGATGGGTACAGACTCCAGTTTGTCGGGGTCTGTGACCATCATACACTATACCAGAGGTCTTCAATCCTGCTCTTGGGGGCCCACTGTCCTGCAAAGGTGTTTGGTTAGGGTTGTGGCTAAACTCAGTGGGACAGTGGGTCCCCAGGAACAGGGTTGAAGACCTCGATTTTCTATGAAATTTGTCAACTCAAACCTGCAGACTGGCTCTGAGTTTCACAATTAGCGGGCTGTAAATTGGGGCAAAAATCTTGGCAAAAGTTGTATAGTGTATTCCAGCCTTTTAGTTGCAAAGTTACTCAAAGTTAGTAAAATGTCTAAACTGGACTATTGAAATAAAGTATATCCCACATTTGTCCTCGCCTTGTTCTTTGCCAGCTTGATCATGAGTATCTATGTCTGGCAATCACAGTAGTTTTTAACTAATAAAATATGCCTTTTTCTGTCTTCAAGGGCTGGATTTGCCCATCAGGGAACGAGAGAAAAGAAACTACTAAAAGAGAATAATGCCTTCAACGTGTCTTCCTTCGTTCTACGGTCCACGATGAGTGGACAGTACTGGCCGGAGGGAGACGAGGTTTACCATGCTGAAATCACAGTGCCTGTTCTGCTGGTTCACGGCATGTACGACAAGTTTGTACCAGTACAAGAGGACCAACGTATGGCAGAGGTACAATCATTTTATGTTCCAAGCTTAGAGCCTTGTCCATTTAGTTGTTTATTTGGCTCTTTCCTCCTGGGGTTTCTCTGAAAGTTTTAGTGGCACTTGACCACATATTTTGGTGTGCACAATCATATTAACTGTGTTCACTTTCTTGTAGATCCTATTGCTGGGGTTCCTGAAGATCATAGATGATGGAAGTCACATGGTCATGATGGAGTGCCCTGACGTAGTTAATACTCTCTTACATGAATTCTTCCTGTGGCAGCCAGCAACCGCCTCAAAACCCAAGCAGGAATCAACCCCCACAAAGACCACCACTACCAAACGTCCAGAGGACACAAGACCAAAAACTGCCCCCAAGTCACCGTCCAAATCTCAACCAGACTTGATAAGACCAACAACTGCACCAAAAAGCATCAATACTGGGACAGAGGCTACAGTGGACATCAGATCTAAGGGCATGAAATAGCTGGTCTACCTATAAACAAGTGATGGTATACATTTAAAAGTGTTCAATTTGCTCTGCTCTTGCATGTGGGCCAAATTTAATGGAACTGTTTGAATGTACGGCCATTGTATATTTACTAGTTGGTGTACGACTGCAGGAAACACATTAAAGGAACAGCTCAGATGGATGTTTGTCCCCGAGCAGAATGGGTTTTACTTGCTTTCGAGTTATATGAGTACCCCTAGAGGTTGTTTTTT